TTTTTTTTTTTTTTTTTTTTTCCCCCTCTCCACCTTCCCACCTAAAACTCGGGCTTCCCTTGTCCTCGGATCTGTGTGCTCGGCTCCTTCTGGGCATTGCCGGTGTGGGGTAGGATCATGCCGGACCAGATCACCGTGTCGGAGTTCATCGCCGAGACCACAGAGGATTACAACTCCCCGACCACCTCCAGCTTCACCACCCGGTTGCAGAACTGCAGAAATACAGTCACACTCCTCGAAGAGGTAAATAATCTTCTTCCTCCACTCCCTCAACCCCCCCCCCCCCCTTTTTTTTTTTTGTGTGTGTGTGTGGTGTTGGTTCATTTTTACTGTTTTGTGTTTTTTTTCTATCTTTGAGAAAGCATCAGGGACAGGGCAGTACCACCCGCCCAAATCCACGGGAGCTGGAGACACATTGGCATGCATGTAATCTGGGTTTTTAATTGTGGAACTTTGCTCTTGCGTTGAGCTAGTTAGAGAAAGCTTTCCTGCCCTGGCGTCTTAAAGATTAGTACGTAAAGCAGTTTGCCTGAACTTAAATATTACTGTTGTACTTTCGTGCTGTTGGCTGCTGCAGGAGGAAAAAAAGTGTGAATGTTGGGTTTTTTTAGAGGGAAGATGAAGGTTGAGTTTTGTTTGGGAACGCTAGCAGAGGTTTTCCCCAGCCACTCATTAGATCAAGTCAGCACAGAACTCTGCGGAAACCTGCCAAGGGAGACCTCGTTTAAGAAATGAGGTAAGGATGAATGTGGAGTGAGGAAAAATATATGAAAACAAAGTAGGTGGTGGAAGGAGAGGAGCAAAATAATGCCGCAGAAGTGATTATACAGTCTTAGCATCTCAACTTTGAAGCCTTAGTGTTTGGGGTTTTTTTATGTTTATTGTGTCATTTAAATGTTGATCCTGCTTAGCTATCAAGAAATAGGAGTGTGAAAATGGGTAAACTTCTAGAGCTGGTTTCTATGGGGTATCAGTCCACTGCTTCCTATTTGAGTTTTCAGTGTGGTTTCCTATGGACTAGGTCAGCAGTTACAAGGAAACATCTACCATATGACTTTAGAACAAGACATTGTGTAGCTCTTCCCTTACCCTAAGCTTGGTTGAAGGATATTGATGATGCTGAAAGAATAATTTTTTTCCTGTTGTTTCATAGATTACAGTTATTTGTAGTTTTGGGTTGTACACTTAATTCATCAATTATTTTTCAGTTCTTTAAGAGTCAGTGTGTATCTAAGAGATGCATTTAATAGAGTCTTTTTAGTTTTGCTGAATGTATTGGCATGAGCAAAACATTTGGTATGCAAGGAGAGTATTAATCATGATGTTCTGATAGTTTTGGGTATAAAAAAATATAATACCAGAAGATTAAAATAACTTAATTTTGGCTTAGTAGGAAAACTGTCTATGTTCAAAAATTAAACTGTGCTATTGTTTACAATGACTGACTAGGTAATAGCGTGATTATAAGATTATATTTAACATTATTTATTTTATTTTAATTATGTAACCTAGATTAACTTCTGCAACTTTTCCATAACTGTTAACTGTTTTCTTCTTGTGCAACTAAACCATGGTTTCTTAAAAATTTTTCAATCAACCTGTTTTGGTTTGTGTTTGACAGTATTGCTGCCCCCTAACTATGTGAATTAGGTACAGGCATTAGTAGACTTATTAGTACAGTTGACAGCAGTCATAGAGTTAAGTAAAGATATGTTTTCTGCCATCACTCTTGACTTCTAGGGTAAGAATACAGTATGATACTTTCATGATTTGGGAGATATATCAGTGCAGTTTGAGTGTGGTAATAGCCATCCAAAGAAAACCAAAAATTGGAGGATAAATACACAGTGTTCTGCACCATTTGTGTGGATTGTGTGTATTTTCAAGGTTTTCATGTTTGATTTTAGAGCAATAAATCAGAGGAATAGAGAATAGTGGATGCTTTTAGTGTTTGTGTTGCTATTTCTTGAATTTCTTTTGTTTATATAACTATTTCATGTGCCCTTTTTAAACTATTGGCAGTTTAAATTGAACTTGGACTTGCTTTGCATTGTTGTCTTATTATCTGTAAATATAAAAAAGCTTTATTTGAGGGAAAACAAGATATAAATAGGCTCCATTGTTACATACTGAAAAAAATCTGCGACTCTCCCAAATTTTTCTTTATTAATTTGCATGAAGAAATGCAGATGGTCAGAGTGTGACAGGTGAAGTGCCCCATTAAAATCTTAGACTGTGTCTTTATTGTAGTTGTAGGTTGCCTATGCAGTTCTGCTGCTGCCACTTTCCAGCTCAGTCAGTTTCTGGGCATCTGCTTACCTGAGGCTGTGGTTCATGTGAAGCAGGGGATTGAAACTGAATTGTGTAGCTCTTACTACCACTGCCATTGTCCATCCATCGTGGATGACTGAAGAGCTCTTCAAGCAGCTCCTGATCTTCAGTTTTAGAGCCCACTATATTGAGGCAAAAGAGATGATCCCATCCTTGCTGTTTGATTTTTAACTTAATGTTGGATGTGGGTTGAAGCCCTTGTTGGGTTTTTGCAAAGTGTCAAGCTCTGTGCAGTTATGGCACTGCAACCTGAAGTACCTTAGCCCATATTTTAAAGCTAGCTTAATTCAACCTGCACCTATCTCAGTGACTGTAAGGTAGTTTGTGGATAAAGTAATTATTTCTTTTATTTTAAATGAGATTGTGAACTAGAACTATTTTCTGAACAGAAATGGTATGAAAATAAAATGGATTTAATGAAAGTTAGATCAATTTCATACACATTTCATAGCCTCTCAGTCTGGTGTGATTCCTACCATAGCTCAGATCAGTGGTTAGATCAGAACCATCTTTTCATAAAGAATGAGACAAAAAAGACTGTTTACGTGTCTGCATCTTTATCTACTTCCACAAAGGCATTACAGAATTATGAATAAACACAACAATTTTTTTTTTTACATAGTAAAATAGATGTTGGGCTCAACTGCTGATTTTTTTCATTTGGTTGTCCTCCAGCAGAAGTGCAATTAGTTCAACTGGATGGATTGATATATATATTCTCTTCTAGTTGTGACTCTTCCTAGTCTAACTAAAGTTCATTTCAAAGGAGACTTTGGATCCAGTAAAATGCAATTTTGGGACAAGTTTTGGATGATAAATAAGAGCAGGCATTTTTACTGATTCTGATGACTTTGCATTTTGTAAGTTTTCAGTAGAAAGCCAACAAAATACCAAGACATACCTCAAAAAATAGGAACTATGGGAACGTTTCTCTGAAGGACTTCTGTGTGTTTCTGGGTGACTTATTAAGGAAAAAAGAACAACACATCACCATCACCACCCTCAAAAAAACCCAACCCAAACTTTATTTGCATTTGTTGTAATATTATCAAAGAAGAAAATAGTCAGTACATGCTGCTATGTAGCAGTTTATTAACTGGAAAGGTTTCATGGTACATTGGTTAAACTACCAAGACTTTTGAAAATTTGCAAGCATTTTTTTCTCCTCTGAAAAGGCAAAGCTAATGGCTTTTGTCATCCAGTTAACATCAGACAAAAACACTGTCATCTTTCTATCTGGGTTTAGGCATCTTATACATAGTTACCAAAGCTAAAAGATCTTTTTCTAATAATTTTTTTTAAAAGCATGTGTGTTATATAATGATGTCCATAAACACAAATATTAAGGTTCATTGTCTTGCTAAAGGAGTGATATAGTTATTTAAAAAAAAAACAACAAAAAACTCTTGAGAGGAGGGAACAAAACTATTATTTTACAGTCGAAGTCTGATTTAAGAGGATTTGCAATTTATATGTACTCTGCCATGTTGATTTCTTCAGCATGGTACAGTCATGAAAAGTAAATAGTTTAATGTCATTGTTCTGCGTGACACTGGGAGAAGATTTTCCTAATATTCATATGCAGAGATGGATTATTGTGTACATAGGTGGGTGGTTAATTACTTTAAAAAAGAATTGAAATCCTGAGATAATCTAGACAGATAACTGATACAGTGTCTTAAAAATCTAATCTCTTCTTTGTTCTTACCAAACATGCTTTTTTAGCCTCAGTAGCTCCATGTTTTGTGTTACTCAAATAGATTTTGAAGAGTTGATTTTAATCCTTGAGTTGGTATTACTGTGTGAGCTAGTTGGAATTTTTAGGGAATGATGACATCTCTTCTGAGAATAAGTAGTGCACATGTGGGATCACCACAAAACTGACTTGATTACCATTCCACTGTGTCCCAGCTCCAGCTGAAAGGATGTCTTTGCACTCAAGGGATAACTCAGTTATCATGACCAGGTAGTTTTAAGTCTTTCTCCTAAAGCAGCAGATGTTTTGCAGGACTGTCTTAAGATTAAGCTTAAACGTTTAAACTCCCTTTAGGCAGACTGGTAGATAAGAAAGGACAGTTGGAAGCTGATGATACAACAAAGAATAGCTGCAGTTGTTTCTGATGCCTATTTTACTATTCAATACATGTTTTACTGTTATACTTTTGTAATACTTGAGCATCTCTAATGATTGATTAGTTAATTCTTTATTTTGTTCTTCAACTAAAAGTTGAAAACTCAAAATTGTGCTTTCTGACAGCTAGATCTTGTCATATGCATCCTTTTCTAATCAATGCTTATGGTGGCAAGTATGTTTGGTTTTTCATTGTGTTTTTTTTTGTTGTTGTTTTGTTGTTTTTTTTTTTAATTAAAAAAAACCAAAACAAACCATTATTCCTGCAATGACTTGCTCATTTGGTTTCTCACTGTGCTGATCTGCTTGAGCTTTAAGGTCTGTTGGTCTAGACTGGTCCTGTAACAGATGTTTGCATGCTACATCAGTGACAGAATGATTGCTTGGCTCCTGCTTAGCCTAACATCAATTTTGTTTTTCTCAATGCAAGGCTGGTATAGTCTAAGATAAAGGGGACAGATTTCTTGCTATTCCTCATTGTGTCATGGACACTTGCCTGCAATGAGAGATGGAAAAGGGGAAAGTATGAGGGGTTTTTTGTGTTACCTTAAGTTTTTTTTAAAGTATGTTGTATATGAGTAATTTTCAGTTTCCCATTCATAACTTTCCCTTCCTGTTTCCGTTTCTGTGAGCATTTCTTACCCTGCTGGGAGAAGGACTCTGGGGACAAGGGTAAGGGGACAGAATTATTCCTTCTTATAATTTTGTAGAAACTAGTGCAGCACTGAAAGTGCTATGTAGGCAGTTAACCTACAGTGATTTCATACACTACCACAAGATC